CATGGAAGGGGGAGGACCAATGACTCCCAGGTTGACATAAGAGGAACCAAGACCTCAGAGATCCAACCACTGGCTGGGGTTACAGCACAAACAAGGCAGGGACAGGATTCAATCACTGGTTGGTAGGAAGCCAGAAGCCAAGCTCTTAACCACAGGTGAGCTTTTCTCCTTCAAATGTAATCTTGAGAAGTGAACAGAGAAAAGCCCTCAACCCTAGAGATCAAGGTTAATGTCTAAACCGGAGCAGTCAACCCTGAGAACTCAGGAAGTGGGTTGGCTTTTTTTCTCTCAGTTTCATTGAATTACCTAGAACTTGGTGTTCTTCCTCCCTACCCCACTAGTACAACCTTCTCAGTTGCATAATGGGCCTCTGACTGTAGCAAAAATAAGGGTAGATCCAAATAATGCACCTTTGTTAATTAAAGTAGCTTTTAAAGCTAGGCATGGTAGTGCACACCTTTAATTCCAGCATACAGGCGGAGGCAGACAGATCTGAGATCAAAGTCAGCCTGGTCTACATAATGGGACCTTGTCCTCCCCAAAAAAATGTTTAAAAAGTACTTCTGTAGCTGGGGTAGAAATCTGTTCTGGAGAAGCTGAGATCTGGGGTAAGCAAGATGCTACTCCTACTCTAGAATCAGCTAAGACAACAGGGTCCTTCTGCCTAAGGGACAGACCCTTAAGTACAGAGAGCAACGGGATAAAAACAGGGCAGAAGGCCAAGGCTGCAGCAGGAAACAGGGCTAAACATTAGACCCCTGAAACACCAGTACAAGCATCTGCTACAGAGAAGCCCTCTGCAGAACCCACCCATACTTCTCTAGGAGACACTCATTTGCCCCAAAGCAGCCCTTCCCACCTTCTTTCAGGACAGAGCATGGAGTTTCCTGCCCCACTTCAGCCCACAGCATGACCTAGAATCCTCCATGTGCAACTTTCCAAGCAGAGAAAGTGTTCCAGCCGCAAGCCCTGAAATCCCTTCTTTAGACAACTCAGCCAAGAACAGAAGGAAAATGGCACCCATTATTCTCCTTCTGAATGGCTGGGAAATGGCTTTTGCTTTTCAACATAAAATGTGCCTAAAAATAAGCTGTGAATTTCAACCAGAGGTTGAAAATAGCTCTGCAGTGAACAGAGCTCTGCTTGGAGTGAGTTTAAGGACAGCCTTCATTCCAAGATCTGAAAGCTGAAACGCCACGGTCAGAGAAGGGGTCACAGGCAGGGGGGCTCAAGGGTGAAGAACCTCCACAGGCACAAGGTTGTCCTTGACATTCTCTGCTAGTGGGGGAGCAGCGTGGGTTCCAGGCAAGGTCTGTCCCTCTGGCTTCCAATAGACACAATGGAGAGAGCACATGGTCACTCCCTGTAAACCCCAAATGCCCAGGAGCGTCCACTGTGTTTTAGTGCCTAAGATGATTTGGAGATGAAGGGCAAGGGCATTGGATACATGGCACTGTTTGGTCATGGTTGCAGTGTTCATGGTTTTTTTGAGAAATCAAACCACCCTGGCCAGTCACTAAATCTCTCATCAAGTATTATCGCTCAGCCAGATAGCGTTGGGCAGGCAAGGCAAGAAACACGCCCAATTTGAAGAATATCAAGTTGCTAAAAGTGAAGTCTTTTCTTATTGCTTACCAACATCTCTGAGACCCTGAAACTTGATAGCCCAACAGCATTCTTAGAAAACGGACTACCAGAAACTCTCCGAGAGCTCTGGTGTGCACCTGGTGGGAGCCAGAACTGAACCAACTGAGCGGAGTCCTTGCGCAGGCTCCTAGAGCGCTTCCCCGGGTCCCTCTCCACACTTCTCCCACCGCCTTTCTTTTGGGCTCCTCCTGAGGAAGGAGCTCTGCAGTAATTCCCACTTGACAATATCTGAAGACATTTCTGGTCCTCAAAACTGGGGAGTAGGATGCTACCAGCATCCACTGGGTAAAGGTCAGGGATGCCACTAAAGATCTCACAGTACACGGACAGCAAACACTCAAATATCTGCCCCAGATATAAATTGCTGAGGTTGAGCAGCTCAGAGTTACTGAAAGGACAGGATGTGGGCAGAAATGAAGCATGGGAGTATGTCAGACTCAGGTCACAGGACAGCAGTGCTTCTGGGCTCCCCTGAGGGGCAGAGCTCTCTGGCCAGCCAGGGGACCTGAGTGCCGGGGAAGACTTAATACCCTGGCCTTCCTCCTTGTCCCTTTCAGAGAAGCCTCTCAGACAGCATTAGGAGTGGGTGTGGATGTGTGGGTGTCTAGAAGACCTACCTGTCCTCTCAAGGCTCTAGAAGGTACTCAGGACAAAGAACAAGCAGTGCTGATCTTAACCCAGAGCGGTTCTGAGATTATGGTGTCACTTCAGGACTCTTCAGAATCGGTCAGCCCATGGGTACTCTGAACCCACTGAGGAAATGGAGGTTTGGAGAGATGAGCTGCTTCATCCCAGGCTACCCAGCAGGGTTCAAAGCCAACTCCATGAAGCCAGAATCTATATTCTGTGCTCTGCTTGAGTGCCATGTAGGGCAGACCATTGGCAGGACTGTAACAATAGCCCTGACATGGATCTCAAAGTAGTTTGGGGACAACTGGCTGCCTTGAGCCCTGTTGAGCCCTTCACTTGCCAATGCCCCATCCTGTCCTGCTGGCTTCCTCTCCCCACGTGATTACACTCTAGACCCTCAGGCCCTGAAGCTCTGGGAAACAAGGTGACATGTTCTCCATTCTGAGGGGGTCTGAGGGACAACAAGCAATTTGTCCAAGTTATTTTCCTGATAACTATAAGAAAAAAAAATAGGCAAAATAGTAAAAATAGTTTTACTAGTCATCAAAACTACATTGAGATTCTATCTCAGCCCAGTCAGAATAGCAGCCATTAAGAAATAAACAACAAATGCCGGCAAGGATGTAGACAAAATGGACTACTCACATCCTGTTGGTGGCAATGTGAACTATCCACCATGGAAGTTAGAATAGAAGCATCTCGAACAACTAAAAGTAGATCTACTGTAGGCCCAGCTACACCACTGGGGGGCATTTACTGAGGAACTCTGAGTCAGCATATCACAGAGACACAGCATTACTTACAACAGCTAAATTACGAAAAGAATGAAGTTACGTTGTTTGCAGGCAAACGGATGCAACCTTCAATTCCCATATTAACTGAATCAAGCTAGTCTCAGAAAGTAAACACCATACGTTTTCTCTCATTTGTGATTCCTATATTTCACATAGACTCATAAAGTTGTATATAGATACATGACACAGAAGTAGAAGTGAAACTGTAGGGAACAAAGAAGACTACTGGGGGGCGGGGGGAAGAAAAGGAGGAGATCAGTGGGCTGGGAGAAATATGCTCAATATTTGCATGAAATTACTTTTAATAATAATACTTTTAAAAAATGTGGACTTTTCTTCCATCTACTGGATACTAACCATTCCCAAGAGGCAGATGATGGGACCCTCCTAGGATAGGAAAGAGCTGCCAAGCAGCCCCTGCATCAGCAGCCCCTGCCACCAGCAGTCTCCAGCATGGTTACATCTGAAAGTCTCACCTGAGAACTAGAACAGGAACCACCCCCCCCCCCCCACTCTGTAAGCAATAAGCACACACAAAGGTCTTGGCAGTGCTGATCTCACGTCAGTGCCCAATAGTCAGAGAGTCATAGGATAGAGGACAAAATTGACACAGGATCCTTCTAGGTAAAAAACTAATCCGCAAGCTGGGTGGTGGTGGAGCAGGCCTTTAATCCGAGCACTAAGGGAAGCCGAGGCAGGCAGATCTAAGTGAGTTTGAGACCAGCCTGGTATACAAAGTGAGATACAGGACAGCCAGGGTTACACAGAGTAACCCTGCTTCAGAAAAGGGTGAGGGAGACATTTATAAGAGGAATATAACTTTTGAAATGACCTGGCAAAGCATGGGCCCTTTTTCTCAAAACAAAACAAAACAAAACAAAAAAACCTGAACAAACAAAGAAAACAACCCCAAGCAACAACAACAACAAAGGAATCAGCAGCAAGGAGAGCATCAGCACACCCCAGAGAGCCCCAACTAGCCCACAGCTCAGGGCTCATTAGCAAACACTTAGGAGAAATAAAACCTCCCAGCCACAGCAACAGCCAAGGGGAAGGCCCTTGGAGAACACTCTAGACTCGCTGTGGCCTACTATGGAGCAGCTCCACAGACTGGGCATGTGCAGTAGGGAGATTTCAGTTGTGGAGCCACAGTGAGCCCAGACAGACTAAGGAGGCTTCCTGGTTCTATTCTGAGTTCCAGCCTTGACTTGCTGGGGTTTAGGCGAGTCGCTTCCTGTTGTTCAGGCCAGCTTCCTCCTGCTTGGGAGGCTACGATGCTTCTTAGGTTCAGGGAAAAAAGATTTAAACAGTCTGTCACCATAGAAGCTTAAACCTTCAGGATTACAATCTTGACCTGTTTCAACCAAAGTTGAGTATGGGTCTATTTAATGAGCCTTTATCAGTTAACATTTTTCTCCCAAATATTTATTCTACAAAATTAGTTATTTTTATTCAGGAACTCTGAATGCCCTTTTACCAACAAAGGTACTAAAAATGGTTTGTGGCTGAGGAACTTCCTCTCCATGGTTTTAAAAAAAAAGAAGTGAGAGTAACCAAACCAGGGTCTTTCCCACTCATCACAGCGGAGGCTTTGTGTCCTGAGCCCTCTAGGAACCAGGACTTGGGTCCTGGGATCCAAGGGCAGCAGACATAGGGCAGGTCCTTGGTCTCACTCCAACAGCATGCACCATGACAACACTCCCCACCAAAAGGGCCAGGGTGCTGGACACCACAGCCGCTCTGTAGCTTTTATGTCTCACTTGTTCATTCTAGATTGGAGTCAAGGCCCAAAGTGTTATCTGATGAACTTTCCCAGGGTTCCTTTTTTGTAACAGATGCCTGCAGGCCTCCTCATCTCCAAGCCCAGTGTTATTTATTGTGACCATCCCAGAGCCACATGGCTCAAGCCCTGACTGCTAAGCCACTTACCAGATTCCCAGTAGAGCTGGCCAGGGGTGGAGGCCTCTGTACTTTCACATCTCCATAATCAACATCAAAGTTACTCTTCCAAACCATCACCTGCCAAGAGCAATAGGCACGAGAATGAGGGGAGAAAATGGGACCATAAATCAACCCCAAAGTTCTGAATCACAGTGGTCCCCATTTCACAGCTCAACTCAACTCTAGGACCTGTCCCACATCCCCAAGGCTTTGGGGACAGATCCGTGGCACCAGGATGGAAAATCATGATGTTGCCATATAGCACAATTAGGCCTGAACACCTGCTTGTCCCTCTACCTGAGTGTCCTAGACGTCTCAGTGTCAGAATCACTATTTAATCCATTTGTTCCCTTTCCTTGTTTATCATGTCTCCCTGAAAAGGAAGCTCCTGAGGGTGGTGGCCCTGCTCATGACACTGTGGGAAGTGGTAGACATAAACTCCAAGCTACACCCTGGGTCAATGTCCTGTCTCGACCTCACTGCAACAGTTGTCAACCTGTAGGTGAAACCTCTCTGGGGGTCTTTCACGGGAGTAGCATAGCAGATATCCTGCAAATCAGATATTTACATTATGATTCATGATAGTAGCAAAATTACAGTTATGAAGTAGCAATGAAAATTTTATGGTTGGGGCCACCACAACATAAGGAATTGTATTAAAGAGTAGCAGTGTTTGTTTGGAAGGCTGAGAACCACTGACTTACTGTGAGGCTTAGGTGAGGGGTTCAGCCTATGCCTAGGGCCCTCTTTGAAAAGATCCCAGGGCTGCTAGGAGGTTCACAGTACACAGTGTGTAACAGTTATTGGCACCAGGGAATGAATGCTAACACACTCATAATCCTAAGCCTAGTAAGTTTAACAATAAAAAAAAAAACCATATTCTTAGCCAGGTATGGTAACACAAATATTGGAGGCAAAGACAGGCAGTTCTCTATGAGTTCACGGCCAAGCTGGTCAATCAATACAGAGTGAGCCCTACAGAGTGAGACTCAGCCTTAAACCAAACAAACAAATAAACAAACACATAAATTAAGTGGCTTCAGTGGTTAAGAGCATTGACTGTTCTTCCAGAGGACCCAGGTTTGAGTCCCAGCACAATAGTACCAGGGGATCTGACGCCCTTTTCTGGCTTTCACAGGCACTGCATGAATATAGTGCACAGAGTACATACAGGCAAAACACCCGTACACTAAAAACAAAAAAGTTATCAGTGGTGGCACACGACTTTAATCCCGCACTTAGGAGGCAGAGACAGATGGATCTCTGAGTTTGAGGCCAGCCTGGTCTACAAGGCAAGTTCCAGTACAGCAGAGCTGTTACACAGAAAAATCCTGTCTCAAAAAAACTAAAAAAACTAAAGATACAAAAATAAATGTTAAAGAATTTCAAATAAATGAACAACCACACTCAGTAGCTTCCTGAGCTGAAGGCACTTCCACAAAAGCTTAGGAAGCAAGAGCACTCCCTACTGGTAGCTAGAAGCCACAGGAGGCTGGCTGGCTACTTCTAGGGTTACTTTCAAGATGGATGGCTTAGCCAACACAGGAGGAATCATGCAATATGACCAGTAGACAATGGAAGCCAATGAGGCCATACACAACACACACACACAAAACTAAACCAAAACAAAACAAAAAGCACCACTATATCTCCCAAGATAAAGGCCTGACATCTTCACTGGGACACAGCAGCTCCTATGAAGCTCGCCACTCCTTGAGCACCCAGAGGGATGGGCACATGGTGCCTCATTTATCAACTTACAAACAGAACGCTGGCATATGTATACCCCACGTACAAGGTCCTTGTATAGCTGTGGAGACCTAACGCTTCTAGGAGCGGAGTGCTAGCATGAATGCAGAGATAACTCCAACACCCCGGAAATACATGAGCAGATGTAAAAAGTCAGGGAGTTGATAGCCTCACTGTCTGATAGGCATGGCAGGTGGAAGCTTTCCCCCAGGTTGTCTTTTGTGATGTGTGACTCGGTTTTAGCATGGCTATTTAACATGTACATCTACTGCACAGTTAACATGTGCATCTGCCATACAGCTCCCGTTTTCCACACTCACTGGAGGCTCAAGGCTCTCCTTTACCTTCCTCTTTTTTGGCTGCTAGCTAGGACCTAGTGCTGGGGTGGGAAGATACAGGCTGGCTGTTGTCCAGGCTGTGGACAAATAACCTTTAGCTAGTCTCTGCTTTACTGGAAAGTCAGTACATTTCACTGCAGCTGGGACTCTCAGAAGGCCACAGGCCTGGCTGGGCTAAGAAGCAGAGCTGCGAGGCGAGGCCAGTACCCAGAGGATGAACATTCTCGATAGTCCACCAGATCAACTGTGCTCACAGCCACTGCTCGTTCCTCCAGAAAAAGAGGGCTGTGGACATACTCTGGGAGAGTGCGGACGGTGCATTCCTAGGGGCTCCACACCTTTCCTAGGACAGGCTTTGAGCTAAGCACCAAGGCCAGAGTACCCCCTACTCAACAGATAAGCCCTTGGCAGCTAGCAGTCTGGGCATGGGGGCACAGTGATGTCAGGATGAAGGCTCAGTGCCAAGGGTTATTAGGTGGGACAGGACTTCCTCTCTGCAGTCAAGGATACAGAAAACGCTGACCCTTTAAACATGTCATGAGCAGGGAAGCAAAAGGCAGCAGAGAATGAAGAAGAGGCTCCAGGGAAGAACCAAGGCTCCGCAGTCATGCGGGCTCAGTGTTTGTCCCTGTCTCCGCCACCTGCTGGGACTGTTTTCTCATTTATAAGAATAAAATAGGAAGACTTGCCCCACAGGACTCAGGAGAACTAAATGAGCTATGAAATCCTTGCCACACTGATGACATTACCAGATCTGCAGTAAGTACCCAGTAAATCTTCACTCTTTATGTAATCAGGACAAGGGGGGGGGGGACTGAAAATCTTCAACTTTTTCACCATGATAATTAGTTCAAACTCCTTCCAACCCATTCTAGTTTGAGACACTTCTACAGCTGCCCCTGAAGGAGACTTGCTTGGGGACAGCCTTGGACCTGAGCATCCCCCACAAGCTCCATCACCACTGTGATGTGATCTTCACCATGGCTGTAGTCACTGAAGGCCCGTCTCCACATGGCCTGCAGCCTCCTGCGCGGTTCTGAGCAGGATCAGCTCAGGTTCCTTAGGCCATTCTTTCTTACCTGCTCATCAGAGCCTCCAGAAGCAAAATACTCCCCCGTTCTTGAAAAGGCAACGGTGGTAGCAGGTCCCTAGCAGAACAAACAGAGTAAACAACAAAGGTCAGCTGGACATGATAACACACCAAAGATCACAGAGGTGGACACAGGGAAATCAGGAATTCCAGGTCAGCCTGGGTTACATAAGACCCCATCTTAATACACATCCTACAACCCCCTTCCAAAAAGATCATTCCAACTCTAAATGCACAGTTCCTGAATGACAGCAGCAGTGGGACAAAGGTCTGAGTACTCACTCAGCACCCAGTCCTCCTTAGCCTTTGTTCAGGAAGCTTGCATGTGGTCAGGTACAAGAATTGCTGCTGGATCTCTGCTTCCAGACACCTCAACAGACAAAGGCCAGGCTGTGGGATCAAGGGTGGACAGGACATTCACACTGGCAGTTTGGCCAGATAGGCATCATTTTCATGGCTGCCCTAATGAGAAGCAGAAGGTCAGAGAGCACAGCTTGAGCTCAGCACTCACCTCTCTGCCACAGGTCCAACAGTGCCTGCTGTAGCCTAGAGAAGTGGACGCCCCAAGAGAAGCCAATGGCTCAAATGAACAAGGCAAAGTCAGGGGCCTGAGCAACAGGAAGGAGGCTGAGGAAGGAATTACTGAAGGTGCCTGGGGAGTGAACCAAAAATGACACCAATGTCCCTGCAATGTGCGTGTCATTTTCTTTAAGTCTGGGCCTTGCAGGGCAATGTTCTCTGCTGGCTTCCTAGGTACAAAAGGTCAGAGCGACCATCTAAAGGGGAATTTCAAGTACATGTTATGCAGCACTCTCCAACAAGCACACCCTGGATGGGAGGGGACCATCATCTCCTAGCAGAGAAAGAACATTCCTCCCCATATGCCTGGAATCCATTCCAGAAAGATATGCCAAGCAAGGTCACAGCCACAGATACAAACTCCCTTCCAGCTGAGCATTTACCATGGCCAGTGCCTGGCATTCTGCAGGCAAAACCAGACTAAAGTTCTCTGAGATCTGTCACAAAGATCACCTCAGTTCTTCTGGACTACCAAAGTGTAACAAGAACTGCCCACAGCTGGGTGGTGGAGATGCATGCCTTTAATCCCAGGCAGAGGCAGGCAGACCTCTGTGAGTTCAAGGCCAACCTGGTCTACAAGAGTTAGTTCCAGGACAGGCTCCAAAGCTACAGAGAAATCCTGTCTTGAAAAACCAAAAACCAAGCCAAACCAAACGAAATCAAAACAAAAAACCAAACAAATAAAAAAGAGAAAGAAAGAAAGGTCCACAGGAGGGGCTTTCAGCAACAGAGCCTGGGTTAGAGACAAAGGAAACACAGGAAAATACCCTGCATTGGTGCTAGAAGGACCACGGCTTAGGCTGAAAAGAGGCCTCACAGCCACCAGCAGCTTTTCTCCCTGGCGGCAGGCAGTGAGCCATGCCTCCCAGGCTCAGGCACAGGAGACAGAAGGGGACACGTCTGCTCTTGCTTCCAGAATCCATTTCTAGTTCTTCCTCTCAAGGCGCTCATACTGGGGTGACAAGACAGAAAGAATTCCACGTGGCTAGCATTGGCTCGGAGCCCTGCACCTGTGTTAACCCATCTAATGCCCAGAGGACAGCGTGTGCCTTTACCATCCCAAGTTGGAGGGAAAAAAGCTCAAGAACACCCAATACAAAGCCTACGCCTGTCTGTCACCTCCCTTCTCCACACAAGTGGTTCCCAGCCCAGGAATTCTAACCTACCACTAACCAAGATAAAGTGGACAGACTATTCCTGCTACTCACATCCATGAACAGTGAGTGTCAAATACCAGGTGCGAGCCATAATGGACCATGTGACTCCATTTTGAGTGACACTGACTGTATTTGCAGCATGGGGAATGTCCCTTCCAGTGGAAAGTTAGCAAGGTGTTACAGGGCTGATGGAGGAAGGTGGTACACTTTCCTCCATCTACTTGATTCTTGACAATTGTGACATTGTGACAATTTCATACTTGGAACAGTTTTGTTATTATTATTGTTTCTTTGTTTGGTTTGATTTTTGGTTTTTCTTTTAAATTTGGTTTTGTTTTTGGGGTAGGTTGCAAGGCAGCCATACTTGGAACTTTTTAAAATAAATAAAAGCAATGCTGTAATCAAAAAAAAAATAAGACAACAAAACATTTTTTATTTTGAGGAAAAATACAAAGAGGGAAGAAAGAAAAGGGAAGGAAACCAGTGCACGGAGTTTCAAAAGCAGACAGGCCCTTTGCCCACCCAGAGTTCATGGGAAGAGCTCCAAGAAGGGCCAGCAATGACAAGAGCAAACACACTTGTGGCTCACTCTCATTGCTTGTCATCACTCAACCACCAGATGCCAAGCTGGGAACAAGATGTCAGCAGCAAGAGCAGCAGGCTCCGAAAATGCACCCAGCTTACAGGGGGATTAGGGCCAGAGGGCAGGTGCTAATGTTCTGGGCTTCCCCAGGAGACCAAGTCTCTCAGAGGACTCAGATATAAGCAAGCAACCAGGAGGCTCCGTGAGGCCCACACGCTTCCCCAGTAGTGCCTGCCTGTTTGCTAAGAGGCAGCAAGGCTCCTGTAACCAGGAGCCTCTGCATTCCTAGAAAGAACAGTGCTCATCTGAGGCTTCTGCTGGTCTGCCCAGAGGCCGAGTGCAGCTTGTGCTCCCATCAGATTGTATCACCACGCCATTGTAGCTACCTCAGTTTATAAAGTATAAACCATGTTTGGCCCGATGACAAAATCACATGATGTGTTTCTCAGACTGTGACTATACAGAGCAGGTCTGCTTTCCTGGGCTGATTCTTGTGTTCTGGGGTTTGGCTCTCAGGGTCTGGACAAGCCAGCCTCTGCTGATCTTGCCCTTCACCAACATTCTAGTCTACTCTACTGCTCACTGCTCCTCAAAGGCTGAGCCAAAAACGGTCTCTTTCTCCTGTTGCTCCTGGAGCTCCAACCCTGAGCTGTCAATCCTCCTTCATTTTAAATTAACTCATTTAAGGCTACAAATCTGTCTCTGAAGTTTCTAGCCTGCACACTTTCGCTGTCATTCCCTTCCTAATGGTCAGTTCTGACTCAAGTTCTTCTTTAGGCCATCAGTTACTGGGAAGTGAATGAATCTAAGGTTTCCAAGCTAAGGGAACTTGGGGAGTTCCTTTCTCTCAGTGTCAGTGATCAAATACAGTATGTTCAAGCTTCATGGTCGCCTATTCCTTTCATTTGATCATTCCTGGTGCGCTGGAGGTCAGCTCCAGCAGGGATGTGGCTTAGTTCTTCCATCCTGAGGCTAGGCCTACCCTGGGGCCTCCACAGGGACTCCAGAGTGTGACTTGAGTATCATCTCTTGCTGGGCCTTCAGCAGCATAGATTCCAGCTGCCCTGCACCCCCAGCAGCAGAGAGGCCTACCTGCTGGGGACCCTGTCCCTTGTCTACTCCTGACCACATCCATGCAGATGTTTCAGAAGCTCAGCTAGGGCCCCCTCCCCTCACCTAAAGGTTTTTTTTATAAGGTGATTTCTTTTTCTTCTTCTTTCTTCTTTTTTCTCCTTCCTCCTTCCTTCTCCCTTCTCCTTCACTTTCTCCTTCTCCTTCTTCTCCTCTTCCTCCCTCTTATTATTCTTTTTTTTTTTTTTTTGAGACGGGGTTTTTCTGTGTAGTCCTGGCTGTCCTAGAACTCATTCTGTAGACCAGGCTGGTTTTGAACTCACAGAGATCCACCTGCTTCTGGGATTAAAGGCGTGTGCCACCACTGCCCTGCAAAGTGATCCTTCTTAATATGTAATGAACACTCCTGACCCTATCATATTTGGCTGAACTCACACCCAGGCACTTCACCACACCTCTTCTCCCTTGTCAATTTCCAGACTCATGAGAGCTATGCTGCCGATTCTTTTCTCTATATTATTTATTTAGCATGCTCACACATGTACCATAGCACACATGTGGAAGTAAGAGAGCAACTTTCAGGAGTCAGTTCTCTCCTTCTACTAAATAGGTTCTGGGTATAAAACTTGGATCATCAGGAGGCTGGAGAGATGGTTTGATGGTTAAGAGCATCGACTGTTGCTGTGGAATAACCTTTTTGTACAATGTAAAAATGTGTTGCTCTGGTTGGTTTAATAAAACGCTAAATGGTCTATAGCTAGGTAGAATTTCTAGGCACGAAGAACGCTGGGAAGAGGGGCAGAGATGCCAGGAGATGCAGAGCAAGTAGGATGGGTAACTACAGAGCTGAGGTAATAGAGCTATGAGGTAGAAAATAAATGAAAAGAAATGGATTAATTTAAGTTATCAGAGCTAGTTAGAAACAAGCCTAAGCTATCAGTTGAGTTTTCATAATTAATAAGTCTCAGAATAAGTCTCTGTGTCATTATTGGGAAGCCAACTATCCTGACAAAAAAGTCCAACCACAGACTGCTCTTCCAGTGGACCAGGGTTCAATTTCTAGCACCCATATGGCAGCTAACAACAGTCTGTAACTCCAAGATCTGACACCCTCACGTTGACATATATGCAGGCAAAACACCAATGCATATTAAAAAAAATAAAAACTCAGGTCGTCAGGTTTGGCAGCAAGGGCCTTTACCCACAAGCCATCTGGCCAGCTCCTTGTCCATTTCCTTTAAATACCAAGCATCAGGCAAAAAGAAGTCCATAGTGACTTCACGTTAGATTGCACGCTCTGATACCCTAAGCAGCCTGTTCAGATCTCTGGACTCTCCTCACACTTGACAGACTCTGTGGCACCTGAATTCTGACCATGGTGCCCTAAGAGCTATGCTGGCCGAAGTCCAGTCTGGCACCCTAACACACCACGTACCAGTGAACAAACAGGGCTGTCATACCACACACTCCCCAGGTATGTGAAAGGCAGAGTGGCCATCATATATATGATGACCAAGGGGGCCAAGAGACTTCTGGTGTGGGTGCTCCGACCTCTGATCCTGTACAGAAACTCAGTCCAGCACATCAGGTGTTTGTATATCCAAGTGGTGAGCCATAGGGTCATTACAACTCTGTGTAGAAGGTGTTGCCCATGGAAAGCAAAGCTCT